TGATTACCACCAAGAAATCGAGACCTCTGGGAGAAATTGGAAGGTGAGGCAGCATTAGTTAAAGCGGTTAGTCTCTCTAAGCATGTTCAGAAACCCATATTGAAAGTGAACACAAGCACAATCAAACCTGAACCTGAGGATTTTATAATGTTTTCTTGGTCATTTAATGTTCTTGAACCCAGATATCTGTGTCAGTGTCATGGATCACAGGATTCCCATGCAGACTTAAACTTATCACCAGTGAAATAATCACTAGATAAAATAAAAACACAATGGTAATCTAGGTCTTTACAGTAGGGGTTCATTTTGTAGAGGTTCAACTGTAGGTCTCAGAGAGTAATCCTGAGCAAAAGAGGAATTTACAAGAAATTTACAAAAGTAGGCACCATCCTTTAACTCATCAGTACACATTTAATATATACACGGTGGCATTTAAATTCAGCAGAAAGAAATAACAGAAATCTATTGTTAAAGATTTGAATTCACAACTCCAGGGTAATTTCATCATTTCTGCATTTTGCAGAATGTCATAAGTGTACTTTGTGCCACAGAAGGTTTTAGAAAGACTGAACTGGTTGTATCAGAGATTTTCTATATATATTTTATAATCATTTTATTATCTTATTATTATAATGAGTTGTTTTTCAAAGCCATCTTAAATTATATATATATTTTTATCTTTTTCACGTTCAAAGCATTTGACCTGTATAATTTTAATAGTAAAGTTGTCTTTCATAGATGAATCATTATATTGAAGAACATATTAAAACAAAATGATATAAATCTAGACAGCATAAGAAATTGCTGGGTTTTATTTCAAATGACTCTTTTGTTATACATGTATGTACTGCCATGATAAAAGAAAATGTTTGTAGTTGACTGTAAGAGACAGGAGTGATACTCTACCACATGATCAACTCAAGGAACAGTGGATCAGCATTAAAATTCTCCTTACTGTTTCTTTATATATATATTTGTTATGATTCAACCCGGGCAAAGTTGGTCTTTGCTCACAGCTGCCTTAATACTTTAAAGTCAAAGTCATTGTCCTTTTCCATGTAATTTTGCAATGTCTCATTGCAATCTTCTTTGTCTTCTTCTTCTCTCTGCTAGTCGGAGTGTTTTGCAATCCATACAATCAACAACATAGGAGAAGCAGCCCCGCACTACTTAAGCCAAAAGAGTAAAGCCAAGATATATGTTTGTGTCCTTGATAAGGAGTCACTTTGATAAGCAGCCTTTTATTACATGGCCCCAACATTTCAGGGATAACAGAATTAGATATTAGAGTTAAGTAAAGAGAATAACAGAAATGAAGTGAAAGGCACTCAGAGACTTACAGTAGTTGTGGAACAGGATTAGAAGGGGTTTGTACAAAGAATCTTCCAGGAGGCCGATTGCGAGGAGTGTTAACCTGCTGAGTAAAATATAACCATGCCACACAGAACTGAGACAGTTAAAGACAAAAAAGATTCAAGGGTTCCAAGAATAGTCTCATGATTTATCAGCAGAAAGTACATGGTAGTAAGGATTGTGATAGATTTTTTTATATTTTCTTAAGTGGCTATCGTTACGATGTGTTACTATATCAATCTTTCTTTTTTTCTACATGTATGCAGAAGACCTTTAAGAATAAAATATTGTTAACACATGAGAGATCTGACATTATGATTTTTCAATTTTTAACTCACATAATTTTTTTAATTTAGTGTTATTCCAGAAAATATCTATACCCCTACCATCACATAAGTGTTTTGAATTCAACCTTCACCCCACCCCACCCCACCCCTCAACCTTACCCTTCTGGAAAATATTCTAGCTTAGCTTCTTGCTTTTGAGCCCCTCTGCCCTCCCTCCCTTGCAATTTCCAGTGACCTTTTTTAAAGAGGGCATGCATATTCTTGGTGCTCACTGACACACTATTTGATGAAAAAAGAGCCCTATCACTCAGTATTCTTTACATATGAAGAAAAAATACCTGATTGAGGAGTTGCCTTCCTAAGAAGTTTCCAGCAAAAGTTTTGATCTTCTTTCCAGCATCCTTCTTGCAACGGACATAACCAATCAGGTTTGCAATGTTCAGTGAGAGGCCCACAGCAACAACCAGCTGAAACATAATTGACAGAATGTGTTATACTGTATAATTCTGACAATAAGCCCTCTCCTACCTTTCAAAAAAACCTTTGAAAATAAGTGCCCCAAATCTTAGATGCAACAATCTTTCTGGTAATAACCACATCTCAACATCATGCATGGTTTATATGTAAATTTAACTCTTGAAAAAAGAGATCACTTCTTGTGATAATCTGCCAGTTGTAGACTGAACCTTTTTTGGCATTTTAATGGTGCTATATATTGTTATGTTTGGAGAGTTTTCACGTGCAGTACTGGTACTTGTTTCTTCCCAAGCCTGTTCCAGCCTTTTGGTCAGTGGGGACGACTGAAATAAGCAGATGCACAATGAGCAATGAGCGAGGTCTGGTAGAGAAAAAGGGGAGGTACCAGACCCTGCTTGTCTCACGCCCACTTTTCAATTGTCCCTACTGCCCGAGAGTCTGGAACAGGCTATTTCTTCCCCAAAATGTTCATAAGCAACACACTTTCAAACATAAAATGCAACTAGCTGCAACTGGCATGTAAGGAGTTAGGTTAGTGGTAATTTGTATCGTTATCATTGCTACAGACAACTGTGGATCACACAAACTTCAGGTAATAAAAGTCACTTAGCATTGTGTGGGACCAAACCATTAAACAAAAGTAAGTGACTATTTAGACAACAACAGCTCTTTACTCACCAGCCACTTAAACTTCAGTGAAAATAATGCAGCAACCAAAAAGAACATCCAAATCAGAGGGCAAATGACCAAACCCAGCCAGAAAAGACGTGATTCAACAGTGGTCACATTTTTGTCACCCTGGCAGTTAACAAAAAGTGAAAACAAGTGCAAACTTAATAAATTGCAGTCCCTTCTTACTTAGCCAGGTCTTGAATTCATACTTTACTTCTAGACCTGGGGTAGGCTGTTCAAAGCCTGATTAAGCTAACCTAGGATTAGAGATTGATTTCAGTTTTGTAAGTTTCAGTGACATTTTCTGTTTAAAAATTGTTTCTCCTTCAGTGTTGAGCTTTAACCGGCTCTCCAGCAACCCAGCCCTGGAGTGTAGTTACACTATTCCTTTGGTAAAAGTGCCATTAACTCTGTGTTTCTATCAATCCGGATTCATAGAAACACAAGTAGCTGCAGATGCTCGTTGGGCTCATCACGCAATCTTCCTTTGTGGGATTTGTGGGGGAGGAAGATTAAGTCACAAGCCCAAAGAGTGTCTGCGTAGGAGGCTAAAACAAAAGTGGAAGTAATATATCATCACTAACATTAGGGACTGTGCAATGCTGCATTTCCAAATACCGAGAAGAAAGTTGAAAATCTAGTGTGCCACAAACTATTTTTGGCGAAGTTTGAGGTGTTTCTCGTGTGTTTGATATGTCTTCCCAATTTCAACTAAAACTAAGGAGAAAACAGAGAAGTAAAATTGTAAAAATCTTTGCTAATTAAGATCAGATATCCAAACACAGCCACAGTATTGACCTTTAAATTTGATATGTACACTGTTAATAGGACGTTTGGGAGAAAGGTCACCCAAACTTTTACAAATATTTTCTCTAGCTTAGTAGAAACACAGAAAATGATCTCAATTTCTTTCAGAAAACACGTTGAGAAAAACAGAAAAATCATTCATTTATTTTGATTATAGAATGAAAATCTCTTTTGCTTGTGCAGTCATTACCTCAACAGCTTGTACTGGTTTTGTGTTTCTATCAAGCTAAAGAAGGACATGCACAGCTCTTATGCATACGTTCTCACAGGGTGTATACCTTTTTTGACTCAAACACCCAGTGGCTGTTCCCATCTTCATCCACATAGTTCCACCACCTAAGCCCTACTAATAACCGTCCAGTGACATTTTTGACTGTCCAGAAGTCAAATGATAACAGCATCACTATGACAATAAAGTTTGTTATAAAACTGTCACTGAACCAACCACACAGGAGGTATGCAATAATTGATGCCACTCGGAAAAGAAGATGAAAGGCTGCTACCATAGGTCTTCTAAAAATGAATTGACAACAGTTATATGTTAAATTAAGTTAGCAAAACTGTATTGCAGTGAATTACCACTTGCAGCCCCATGCCCCACTGCGGGCAATAAGGATTGTGATGATGATGAATAACCTCTTATCAAAACAAACTATTAAAAAGTAGTAAATCAAACATGAGAGACAATGTTTTACCACATTTCTAAACACTGAGAAGAAAATATGATGCACAGCAGAGTATTTTTGTATTGGAAATGTGGTAAAACAAATAAATTAGCAAAGCTCTATGCTAATAGAAATCAGATGTCTGAATACACCATCATGGTTATGTGATTTCCTTTGTTTCAACTTGAAAAGTTGTTAATGAGTTTGAGAAGGACACAGTAATGTTAGTTAATGTCTGTTGCTGTTCACAGGAAAACTGTTTTACCAACTCTGAAAAACAATGTGAGGTGCAGGATGTAGAAAACTAATCTAGTGATAATTTTTTTTTTAAAGAACGATGCATGAGAACACAAGACAAATAACAAACTTATGTTCAATTGCTCTTTACAAACTTGAAATGGCACCTTGGACAGTCGCCAAGACCAAACGCTATGATTATTTGTAGTTATTTGAATGACACTTCAACCTGTTCCTTTTTTGGTAGCAGTTTTTTCGAACGCACCACATACAAACATTAACTAGCTGTCTTCTCTCGAACATTGTAAACGCGTCTTACTTTAGAGAATGCCACTGTACATTCATAAGCTTAAAACTGCTTAAAATAACGTACAACGAACCTAAATTTCTTTTTTCTGTTCAAAATTTCATCTTCATCTCCAAAATTTAACGCTACATCTTCCGTAGCATCTAAATGGTCCTAAAATATAAAGATGAATAAAAGTGTCGATATCAAAATGTAAACTAAAAGAAAGCAGAACAAGCACAATCGCAGCAAAGCTTGAAAAACACCAAAACATATGTAGCAGAATAAGCAAATGCACCTACCGTGTCCGCCATCTTGAAATTTGAATGGCCGCTGACCACTTACATTGAGACGTGGCAGTAAAAGGCGCTAATCAGGCGCTAATTTATGTAAATTTGAGCACAGGCCCTTTTCAGTCATGCCTCACATGCACAGTCATTCACTCACAATCATTATTCAGAAGTTTCCATATCTCAGTGCATCATCTCATATCGGTCGAGCCTGAACCTGGAAACTAAGTTTCTTGCATTCCACGATACAACGAAGAGAACATGAAGGGTAATCCCCCTTAGAACTTATTCCTAAGGCAGTCTGCAGATCACTCCCACCCTCAGAAATCTACGTGGCAACTTGCAATTGAACCAGAGCTATTAATCAAATACAAACAACTCGCGATCGGGGAACACTGCATTGCGTTCGGTTAGCCCATGTGACTTCCGGCGATAGCGTGACAAAACAACCTCACTGATCCCCCCAGCACTACGAGCCGAATGACTGACAGCACGAGCTGAATCGGACAAGAGTATAGGTTAGCAAGCGATGTTCAAAGGCGATGAAAAAACAATAAGCTTGGGGGAAGTCGCTGCGCAGACTTTACCGCACCACACAGGAGTGACCCTTTGTTTATTATGTAGGAATATATGACCAACCTCGTCTCCAAAGGGAGGGAAAATTAAACGATAGATTTACAATAAGTAATGGCTACGTTGCTTAGACGGACTCCGAACAGTTGTCCGAGCTTTTATATGGAGACGTTCGCCTGCTGGTAAGCCAGTAGAAAAGGCTGTACTACCGAACAGCTTGCCCTAGCACGAATAGTGAATAGTGCTTTAATGCTTTGCACCGATGCTATGGTTCGTTATAGCGTTCTGAAGGTAACAAAGCTACAATGTTTTAGGATTAGCTACAATAAAGCTGACAGTTTGCTGCTCAATAGCTCTATAGAAAGTGATGGCGCCATGAACGGCTCATTGAGAACGTACATCACGCTCTATTAACTATATTTTATTAGCGTGCCAGTAAAATCTCATTTAAACTGCTACAAGAGACCAATCCGGGAGTGATTCAAGCTTCATTTGAGCCCTAAAAAGTACCACTTTAAAACGGACATCCTTTGAGTGCAAACCTAAAAGATAGCTAAGATACAGCACTAAGCGAGGCGACGTGCATCCCCGACCTTTTCACAGAGGACCCCCGCCCCCTTTTACAAGCATTTTGATCCTCCACGAAAACATTTCCGCAATGCACTTGGCAGCATTATAAGAGGGATGATTGGATACCGTATCTAAAAAAAAAACTTGAGGAATTGCCTTGAGCATACGACTTATAAGATTTATATGGAGGTTAACTCT